TATAGAATTAACTTTAACATATTTTTCATGTATAGTAATAAAAATTTAATTATTATTATTTCTCAAAATATTTTTATATTTTTTATATTTTTATGTATATATATAAGCAATCAACCAACCCAATTTATTAAGTTAAGCCAATTACCAAATTAAATTACTAGTTCAGAGTTTGGTGAATCCAAAAAATAAATATTTGGTTTAATTTTTATTTCTTTTTTTCAGTAGTTTAATGGGAACTAATTTGTTATCCATCTGTTATCATTTATAAATAATCTTTCTTTTGAGTAGATATATTTTTCCTTTTAAAACTAAATCATTTTATACATACTATGTTCATTACATTATATATCATCCTTATATAAGATGTAAGTGAGATGATGTTTCACAGATCAGGTGCGGATTCACTGGTCAAAGTGATGATATTTGCTTATTATACTTTTGGCTGGAAACAAGCAGAAGAAAGCTGTAAACTTTTGCTTTGCAAAGATTCACTTAGTGAAAAACTGCATATAGTCAGAAGGATGAATAGTCACAGCAGCAACTAATGTCTGTACATTAGAGAACTTCCTTCTATCTTCCAAAGAGTTTAGCAGAATATAATCATCAGGCTTATGTTATGTAACAAAAGTCATTGGTTGCCACTGTGAACACCTTCTGTGTTATTGTACAGGGAATTACAGCATCAATCAATAAATATTCAGCAATAAACAAACTCATTTTCCTAACAGACATGCATCTGTGACATGTCATAGCCAATATTTTATATTTGATTATATTAAGTATATATTTAATTAGTTTGGTTATAATTAAAATATTATAAATTAATATTTGTAAGAAAAAAACAATTATTTTATTTAGATACTACCTTAAAAGTATGATTTTTTGATTATTTAAATTAAATGTGATTTTAAAATAATACTTTATTTTTAGATAAAGAAATTACTTCAACTGAATCTAGTCAAGAAATTCAGAAAAGTACTAAAAGCTGTGAAAATTTAATCCAGAATTCTTTTAATAAGTTAACCTCAGGTATAAGTGAGCAATTAGAAACTAAAGATATTAAACTATGTAAGCCTACATGTAATTTTGAATTTGAAGATTCTACTGATATTGAAATTGAACTTGATGAATCTTTGATTTCCGAGCTTGAAAAAATATGTGATGAAACAAGCAACAAAATTAATCTAGCCGATGGTGAAAGATATTCGGATAAACTTTCTCTAACATTTGACGTTAAACTTAATGAGATTCCTTCATTAAAAACTGATGATATAAGCAACTCTGAAAATTTAAATTCCAATAAGTTAAATTTATGTGATGATGAAATTTTTGATCAGAAAACTCTATTAAATGTTGATAAAACTGATTTAACTTACACTGCTCAAGTTGACCCTGGGTCATCTAATAAAGTTACAAACTCTGAAACTTTAAATCAAGCCATAAATGAAAATAAAGAAATATTATTGTATGATGAAGATAAAATTAGTAAAAGTGAACATTTGAATAACATTGAGAATTCATCCATAGATTTTATGACTGATATATTATTCAAAACACAGTTACCAGTTGCTGAATTGACTAATAATTTAGATTCCAATTTAGAACACATAAAGACAAATCAAGAAAAAAATGCTGAAAGCAATATTCCATTGATACCTGATAGCAAACAAGTTGATGATGACAAAACTTCAGATTCCAAAAAATTGCTGCTTACAAGAAAACATTATCGTTCTTTGAAAAGGAAAGATTCAAACACTCCTTCCTTATCTAAAACTTTATTAAACAAGAAAAGGTTAAAGAAGCAAAATGAAGTTGATGATAAACTTGTTAAATCAAGAAAAAATTCAAGTGGAACAGATGATGAATTGAAAAGTAAGAATTTACTTTTAAATTTAATTAAAATATTTTAAAAATTAATATCTTTTTTTTTTAATGTAATACTGTCTTCATATTTGTTTGATTTGAACTCTTTTAACATATGGCATTGGAATGAAGGATTCTTTTCATTATAAAAAGATTGCTATTATGCATATCTAAAGCTGAGCGAAATTATAAACATTCTTTGTGCCACTAAATAAGTTAAATTAGGGAAAAATTTTACTAAATATTTTATATATTTTATATCTTTAAAACATTTATTATCTGTATCTGCTAATTACTATAAATTTTTGACAGTTCTCTTGAATACAAAAATTTCAACTGATGATAATTTGTAAAATTATTTTTTCATCTTGCATGATTTTTATTATTTTGGTCATTTTTATAAGATTAATATTTAAAATCACTTGTTCTAAAAATTGTTTTTCTTCAGAAGCATCTAAATTTTTAATCATGGTTTACATATAAAAAAACTAAAGACTATAATTATTCAGATACATTGTATAAGTAAAATTAAATAATTATTTTAAAGATAATGATATATTCTGTTGTTTTCTTAAGATCAATTCACACTGTCATGGTTTTCATGCAGAAATTTAGACATATTGTTTGGAATAGTTTAGAACTTATCTGTTATCGTAATAAATATGAATTTAATAGTAATCTTTAGTTAGATTATAAATTACTTTACTTAAATAAGTTAAATACATGTTTAAATATTTGTTTAATGGTTTATATGTATTATTTAAAAATTACATTTTAAAAATATTATTATTAGAAACACATTTTATANCCTGTATTAGGAGATAAGCAGCAATGTTATTAAGATATTGAATAGATATTAGAAAATTTAAATATTTTGGAATTTAAACATGTATATAACAAATACATACATATGAAGAATTTGTAAATTATATAATTTTTGCTATAATTTAGCTATAGAAAATTCTCTACAGTTTTAGTAATAGTTGAGAAATCAAATTTATAACAATAAAGTATTTTTAACTAAACTCCATATATTTCAACATTTCTGTAGAAATATCTATCACATTATTTTATAAAATTAATTTTCAAAATTAATTACAAGCTAAAAAATGTACTGTATTCAGTATAATTATCAGAAGTTATGGAAGTTTATTATGGATTATGAAATCAAACAAAAACACTGATCTGAATAATTAATGATTACTCATGGAATTATGAAAATTGTTAATACTTAAGATTAAACAGTTCTGTTATGCACATCATAAAAGAACAATCTTGGTAAGACCTTTCAATGTTTAAAATAATAGTCATTATGAAGTTCACTTTCATTTATCTCAAATATTTAGTTTAGATATGTAATATTCTAAGAACAACAGAATGGTATGGTTATTATTTTTTTTAATACTGTCTTCATATTTGTTTGATTTGAACTCTTTTAACATATGGCATTGGAATGAAGGATTCTTTTCATTATAAAAAGATTGCTATTATGCATATCTAAAGCTGAGCGAAATTATAAACATTCTTTGTGCCACTAAATAAGTTAAATTAGGGAAAAATTTTACTAAATATTTTATATATTTTATATCTTTAAAACATTTATTATCTGTATCTGCTAATTACTATAAATTTTTGACAGTTCTCTTGAATACAAAAATTTCAACTGATGATAATTTGTAAAATTATTTTTTCATCTTGCATTAGATATTTCTG